GGGAATGTTGTCATAAAAATAGCTTAAGATTATGCATGCAAAAGTGCTTAGTAAATGTAAATGTAACTGGTGTAACCGGCAAGTATGCCACTGCTTTGTGACTTTCTGCCTCTTGTTTTCCACTGCCCTGTGCCAAAGTCAAGAGTGTTTTTATCTTTATTCTGTGCCTATCCCATATATATGGGGTTAGCAACTTGTGAAAAGGATACCAAACCACTTGTCCCAAGATTCTGTTAGACAAATCAATATATTGTGCAGAAGTGAACCTGCAGAGTCCAGAAACAGGTTTAAAGAACTGTCTTCATCAGTGACCACTGTGTGACGGGGATTATTAGAGTATTCACGAAAGGAAATCTTTCTCACTTGTCAAAAATCTCTCTCTCCAACTCTTGTGCTGTGACCAGGAAAAGATCCCAATCAGATGGCATGTATTATTTGCTTTAAAAAGGATGACAAATAGTCACTTGCCCCTTTACCTGTCTAATCATTAGTGGTTATGCACTGGTAAATGCTGCCTGAGATAATCCGTTTGCAAAGTCTCTTTTCAAAAGAATGTACTACAGTTCCCAATTTCAAAGCACCAGTGTATCCCTATAAGTCCTCCTCAAGCTATAGCTAATTTAGATGGAAGAAATTTTGAACATGGTGACACATGAGGCAGCTATGCAGAAGAGGCTCTCGAAATGTGAAGAAATGACATGCAGGTGGGCATCACATGGCTTACAGGGGGATCCTTTCCTCTTTTAAAGGTGTGGAATCCATGTAGATTCCTTTCAGCAGAGGTGCAGCAATTATAAGGTGAAGCACTTTTGTGGAATGAGCAAGGGGCCATATTCCTACGGCATCAGTTTCTCACCGATCTAATGCCGTGAACAAGAATGGTTATAATAATTGAAGTGTGCATCTGAAACTTTGTGCGGTGAGACAAAACATGATATCATTATGAACAGGAAGCCTGGAAGGTACTCCTACATCTGAGACAAGCTTTCATGTTAGAAGTGACTTTTTATGGTGTGCATAGGTGACGTGGTGTGTGGGAAGACGGGATACAATCAGAATCAGCCCAGACACATCCAGCGAGGCACAGCAGACAGAAAAATCATAGACTGTGGTCTCCCCACTCAACAGCAGGGTTAGTTGAACTAACAGGTGGTCAGGGCCAGCAACCTCTGTTCCTCCAGCCACACGGCCAGAAACCCTCGAGAATCACCCAGATCGTTTCACTCTGAGCCTCAGTTTCACCAGAAGTAAAATGATGCTTCTTCAGAACGTCAATCTGTCTTTTACTGTAAGTTAATTATAAGCAAATCCCATGCCTTCCACAGCAGGTTTGTGGGGAGCACACTGATATTTTCAAAAGACAGAGTGAGGAAGACACAAACTTTAGGTTTTGATAAAACTGATTGCCACTGACTCCATACCATCCACAGCAATATCATGACTATAATTGCCATGTTTGGTTATGCCTCTCTTGCCTTATCTCCAGACTGGCATTGCCTGTGGGGAATGTTCCAGGGAGGTTAGATTATTTTTCAGTGTAGAATCAGTTTAATGTGTAAATAGATGTCAGTGACCCTGGCTACAAAGTCTCTTCCCTCCAGTATCAAAACGCTGACGGGAATTTGAACTTTGTCCATTTACACGAGGGCAGTGGTGGACAATCTCTAGCCTGCATGTTCTTTGTATTCCCTTGAAGACAAAGGATGTGAATGTATGAGCTGTTTTTTCTAGTGTTAACAGTTTGCAATAAATCACTAGGCCTTGGCTTGAAGTTTTGGCACTTGTCTCTAAAAGGTTCACTATCTTTGCACTAGGGTATACAATAAGATAATTTGCTATTGATTTTATGATGTTAGATTTTCAAAAGGCCATTGGACTGAAAATAAAACAAAGAGAAAGATTTCAATGAATCAGCCTTTTGACTGTTCAAGCTGCATAAAATATATATTTACTAACTTGAGTTGTGAAAAGTAATTAATATTTATGGAGGCAAAAAAGACATCTTCAGGAATTTCTTATAAAGCCTAACCCAATCTAGTTAAGCTGATGGTATTTAAGTCACTGTGTAATGCCCGTAAGGTAAGTAGCCCCTTTCCCTTGCTACCTCACATTCTCCATATTTAAATATCATCTCTATTTTGGTGTGAGCTGAATTTGTGAACTTGAGAAGAATCTGTGAGAATTAACCACTCTATGAAGATGGCAGATGTAAAACCTTCTTTGTGGGTAAGAGTCAGGTTATGGGTCTCTGTCCCTCATCCCTATTGCTGTGTAAAAGAGATCAAAGGAAAGATGAAAACTAAATCAGAAGAAAGGGCATGGCAGATTCTCAGGGATTTTCTGAGCCAATGAGGAATCCAGGTCCACTGGACCACAGCCACCAGCAACATGGAGTAGTGCTGAGCCGAGCCAGGAGGAAGAATCTTATTCAAAGCAAAGGACTACAGAGAGGAGAAGGAAGACTGCAGGGAGGAACTTCTGCGATCTCACTCCTTGTCATCAGAACTCACCCAATTAGAAAGGTAGAAAGGATTCCCTTTTCTTAAACTGTCCATTCTCCAGGAAATGCTCTGGGTTGAATGTGTCTGGAGTCGCCCACTCTGTGGGGTCCCTGTGCAGCGCAGTCAAATTGGTCATGACCATGGTCCCCTAGAAAAGGGAGAAGAGAGTCAGGTGAGGCTTGACCCATGCAACACACTCAGGCACAGGGACAGGGGCCTGGGCTCCTGAGCTGCGGGCTGCTGCTGGCCTCAGCTCCTGTACCCCTTCAGTTCCACCACCCCTGGATCTCAGTCTCCAGGATCCTACACTTTTTCACAGGACCACTCAGGAGGATAGACTGTCACTGCCTGCCAGGAATGTTCCAGGAGGTTAGACTATTTTTCAGTGTTGAATCAGTTTAATCTGCAGGCAGATGTCAGTGACCATAGCAACGAAGTCTCTTTTGCTTCTTACTCTTCCCTGCAGTATCAACTGCTCTCCCTACTCACAGCAGGGTTCGTAGCACTAACAGCTGGTCAGGATCAGCAACCTCTGTTCCTCCAGCCACAGGGCCAGAAACCCTGGAGGAGAGACAGTGAGTCTTTCCCTCACGCTGCCTCATCGGACCCACCAGTGATGCTGGATGATTTATCTGTCAGTTCATTCTGTCTCCTCCATTCTGTGCCCACAAAAGGCTCCTCTTTGAATTGCTGCCTTGTGTTCCCAGACTCCTGTAATGCCTCCTACCATGCCCCTGCCAGACCTTTCCATCTGCTCCACATCCTGAGAGCTGAGCATGATTTGAACGTGACTTAACTGTGTCACATCGCCCACGTACTCACTTGATACTCTTGAATAGCTTCCTGACACTCCCAGGTCATAAATCCATCCTCTTATTCACCAGGGTCCTCCCTTCTGTGTTGCCCTCTGTCTTAGTCACTGTTGTTATTGCTGAGACAAAACACCTGACACTCAATGTTCAAAGAGCAAAGGTTTGTTGTAGCTCACAGTTTGTAGAGGTTTCATTCCCTACTTGATGGATTGGAAGGCAGGGTGTCATGGCAGAGGGTCCTCACAGAGTGGACAGGAGGCAGTAAAAGACAAACAACACTAAGAGATGGCAGCATCATTGTCTCTGTCTCTTATATTCTGTGCAGGTGCTCGTCATGAGGGCAGGCAACAATCCCACCCATGATGGGGCAGCCTTCACCCCAGCATCCCACATCGTAGATCCTGCCACCTCTCCAAAACACCATCTGTGACCACATGAAGCTTCGGGGGACATCTAGACACAGTCCATAACACTGGGGCTCCCACTAAGGGGGGACCTCCCACTGGTTGTTCTACCAGAATAGGTTTCCGTGTTGTTCATTATGCAAAAATGTTTTTACGTTTTTTTTTTCATGAACTAACTTCTTGCCATTCTTTCATTATTGGCTCCAAACTCACTTCCCTCAAAAGCCTCGCCTCACCAGGTCATCTGGCTCCTATGTTCCCTCTAGCTGGAGGATTCTGAGAGCATCTTTGTGGAACAAGTGAGGATTTTCCTTTGGTCCCTCATCATGCTTTCTAAGAAGGTGCTTCCATCCCTATACTGCTCTGGATTGTTTTTGAGACCCAAATGTTTTACATACTTATGGTGTATTTGCTGGTTAATTAAGAGTAATAATTGCTATTTTGAGTATGAAGCTCTGCATGTAAGACCTCACTTACTTCCATGCAGAGCCTGCAAGAAGAGTTTAACTGCATTTTAGAGATGAACCAACTGTATCTGTGAAAGGTTTCACAATGCCCTTGGAGTCACAGAGCACGCAGACACAGAACCATTTCCTGCACTAGGTTTGTCTGGCGTCACAGCCATGGCTCCTGTGCTAGGTATCATTAGATTTCTTATTGTCCAGGACGGATATTAAACCTGATGCGAAAAATTAGTAGTAAAATCAGTCTAGTGAGATGGCCTAGTGCTCTGAAGGTGGATGAATGGTTAGAACAATGCAAACTGCACCTGGAATGTTCATATCTCATTCACTCCAGGACATGCTCAGTTAGAAGGGGAGGACTTCCTGGCTCTGCAGTGGTCCTACCCGGCAGTGTTCAGTGGGAAAGCTCCCCGGCTCCACCACTGGAGCGTGTCCCCGAGGAAAGCCTATTCGGAGGAATGGAGACAAACTAGAACAGACCCTCACAGGCTGGGACAGTTGGCCACAGAACACAGGGAGACACCTAATCGGGCTTTGTGAACAGAAGATTCCAGGGACACAGAGGAGCTGAGTGTGGAGATCTTAAAAGCAGGTAGCATGCGATGCCTTCTGTTCATGAAGACAGGAAATTCAACAGGGGACAATGGATAAAAAGTGAGGGGAGAATATTGTACAGTCAGATAAAAGCAAGTCCTGTGAAGGAGCATTATGTATTGAAAATAATCAGTGTAGATATGGTTCTGGATACCAGCTATTGTCCTACCCTAGTTGCGAGATCTGAAAAATAATTTTTCCTGAATCTTACCTTAGTCTATAAAATGGAAACAAAACATATCCTGAGAACAAAGATATTTTGAAATAGGCTAATAGTCTAATGCACAGGATTGTTGTATAATATGAGTTGTCCTTTTTTCTCCCTTTATAATAATTGGTACTGCACAGCGGGGACTGGCTTCCTTTCTTAGACCCAACAGCCTACCATGGGGCTGTAAGCGAATCTGAAGTAATACAAGCAGGGAAATTATTTTAGCGAAATTATTTTAGAAAAAGCAGTGCTAGTGTGATTGGAGAGCTGAGTGTCTCAAATGCCCTTTCTCATTTAACAGTCTATAATTACTGGATTTTGTCACAGAATTTTCCAAAATATCTCTGGCAGGTTACAGAGCCTCCTCAGGGGAGGTGGGGGCATGACCTCCATGGGTGTGCCTCCCTCCCTTCTCCCTTGATTTCTCCCTGTTTCCCACCTTGCCAAGAGCTGCTCCTCCTCTACACCTGCCTCTGCCATTCCACGCTGCCTTGGAGCCATTTACGCATGGATTGAAACCTCTACAAATTTGAGCAGAAACAAAGTTTCTTCTTAAGCTGTGGAGGTTGGACATTAAGACAATCAGGTATGATAAATCACTCTGCTCATGTAACTGACTTCTTAGGACTGGAAAACATTTCATAATTTCCCAGGACAAAGTCAAAGACAGGCTTGATGGCAAAGCCTAAGAGGTCTACTTACCTTTGGCAGGTGGTATCCACCCAAAGTGGTATCAACACTCACTTCCCTGGGGGCATTCAGAGGAACGATGTTGCCCATTCTTAGCACCTCGTGGACAACAGCATTGGTATAGGGCATGGACTCTCTGTTGGCCAAGCTTGGCTGCTGCGCCTGGCCAATCACTCTGTCAATCTCAGCGTGCACTTTTTCTGGAAGAGAAGGGGGTGTCAAGTGTTTCTTAAATTTTGTGATTTCTTCTATAAATGTGGGAATGCTCTATAAGAGCTTCACTGTTGGATTTTAACTACCTTCACTCTGAAAATAAACAAAATGGACCTTCCCCATTTTAGGGCTTATTTAGAAAATTGCCAGTACTCTAAATTCCCATTAGCCTGGGTGGCCCAGAGAACAGAATATTCAGGCTGAGAACAGCTAAGTTCACAATAGGATCAGGTCTTATTGAGACTGGTATAATAAAGTTCCCTATAATGGCTGGCTTACAAGCCACAGAATTTTATTTCTCAGTTCTGGATCCTGAAGATTCCAACATCAAATTTTCAAGAAACTTGGTACCTGGTGGAACCACATTCTCCACTCATGGACTGTACCTCCTTGCTGTGTGTTGACACGCACCAAGGAGCAACACAACTCTCTGAAACTTATTTTTTTAAAGTACCTGGTCCCATTCAGGAGAGCTAATCACATTCAAGGCCCCCCATTCTGATTACCATCCCATTATTAAGCTATCACACACAGCAGATCTATAGACTCTAAATTATCAGAGAGATATATGAGTCAAAAGTGAACACAACTCTTGCTTCACAACATTGTTGCTGCAATCTATGGAAGGCCTTTCTGTCTCAATTTTCCTGTCTCATTAATGAGGATAGATATGCCTTCATTGTAGGGATTCTTTGAGATTTACATGAATTGATTTGAGGGTCCAAGAAATAATAGAAACCGCTCCCTGCCACCCACTGTGTTCTTTTCTCTTTATACAGTAACAGGGATTTCAGCTGAATACTTGGTTGTCCTGTTGAAAACTACATTTCCCATGTTCTCTTCTGACTAAATGTGGCCATAGCACTAAGTTTTGGTGGATGGAACGTAAGCAGAAGAGATGTCTCATTCTTGGAACAAGCCCTTCTGAGGAAAGGTGTTTGCTGCCTTTTCTTCTTGCCTCTTAATGTGGAAAGGCAGTCTTCTGGAGAGGGTTTTAGAGAATTAGAAGGAAGACCTCATTCTAGATACAACAGAGCAACAGTTGAAAGGTCTTTGGAATTCTAAGTGCTTCACAAAGCTTACAGATCTTTTACCCAAGAGAGTTTTAGAGATAGAAGGAAGACCTCATTCTAGATACAACAGAGCAACAGTTGAAAGGTCTTTGGAATTCTAAGTGCTTCACAAAGCTTACAGATCTTTTACCCAAGAGAGAAATAAACATGTAACATTTGTTTATTGACCATTTTTAAAAGAGAAATTTCACTGGGGTTACATCTTTCTAGTTGGGTAAAATATATAAACATAAAATGTACCATGTAATTCATTTTAACTTATGGTTAATTTTAAATATATTCATATTACTGTGCAATCCATCTCTAAAATTTCTCATCTTGCAAAACTGAAACTCTATATTCATTAAAGGAAGCCTCATTTCCTCCTTTCCCAACACATGGCTACTACCATTGTCCATTCATTTCCCGTGAATTTGACAACTCTAAATAATTCATATAAGTGTAATTATACAGCATTTATGCCATTGTGGTTTGTTTATTAATGCTCTTGCTACAGCACACCTCAGAATTTTATTCCTTTTTAAGATTGAACACGATTATATTCCATGTGTAGTCCACACTTTGTTTACTCCTTCATGGTCGATGAACATCTAGGTTACTACTCCCTTTTAGCTATGGACAATTGTGCTGCTATGAACACAGGTGTAAACTTCTATAACTTTAATTGATTTTTATTTTGGATCCTCTATTCCAGAAGTCCAGTTTACATCTATGATCACTATTGTGATAGATCAGCTTGGCTGGAGTAAGAACTACCTGGAAGATTAGTAAAGACCACTTCTAGGTGTGACCATTCATAACTGACACGTCGGCCAGCAAACTCAGCGGGGTCAAACCATCCTGGATAGATAGAACAGAGAGGGGAAAGAAGAAGGAAGTGCCCCCATTTTGGAAGAGCTGAAATCTTGGCTATTGCCTTTGGACATGGCTATCCAGTTCCTTCAGCCTTCCAATGCAGACTTACATTGGCAACTCTGCAGTGGGCTTCTAGGCGCTGACCTTTAACTGGTTTTGCCTCCTTGATCCCTCTTGTTTTGAGGTTTCCGTCTTCTTGGGCTCAATAGATACTGATCCTTTGATTTTCCAACTTACAGAGGGTCTGTGTGAATTCTTCTGCTTCTCACCCTGTATGGTCACCTAGTAAATCTCTTCCATAATCATGCATGTATTATCTATTGATTCACTTTGAGAACACTTATGCAACATCCTAACTCAGGAGCTTTGAACTTTTTAAAAAAAAAAGAATCCTCAGGTAGTAAGGCCTTTTGCATCATGATCCAAGATACATATACATAAATAAATACTCATATAAAATATGAATTTTATATCAATATGTGAAAGAGACAGTATAACGTAATGTATGAATATACATGGGTTGCACTCCAATACCATTTATTCTGTGTTTATATTAGGGACAAAAGTTGTTCTTGATCCACAAAACTTGTTTTGGCTCTTTATTACACCGTATTCCACAATTTGCAGAACTGCATTATGAGAGTCTCCATCCACCACCTGTTCAAGGTATTCTGAAAGCTGAGAGATCAAAAACAATGGGAATAGTCACTGTCCATGGAGGGATGAGAGTTTGTGGGGTTGTTAGAAGAATACTATGTTATACAGATGTGTAAATACCAAATAGTTTCTCTGGTGAGAAAAACTAAAAGTGTAAATAAGATCCAAATTGTATAACTGACAATGTGAAATAGGAAGAAAAGGGCTAAAGGTATAGGGGAAGTGGGAAGGGTAGGGGAAAGGAAATAAGAGAAAAGAAAAATATGAAAAAAGGAAAAAATGGAAACAAATTATTTGAAAATAGGAGAAGGTGGAGGGGGTGAAGGGAGGGAAGGGGAATGGGGAAAAATGAGAACCAAGATCTGTCATGTAGAGGTACAAGATCCTAGTGATGAATGTAACTGTACTGTATACCTAAAAAGTATCAATAAAATCAATAAAAAAGAATAATGTGTGAAGAGCACATTAGTTGAGTTGTGTTGTCATATCTGGCATAAGAAAACATTAATAATTGCCAAGCCAGAAATATCTTAGAGTAATAGATGATTTGAGGTAAATAATTTTATCACATGGGAAAAAATTGGGAATTGGCTTCATGATAGAGGGAAGAGCAAATGTCAGGCTGAGGGCATAAACAAGGACAGTGACAAGGGAAGGAAATGTACTTTAGGGAAGCACCCATACACCACAGTGGGGGATGAAGTGGGGTAGGCAGAAAAGAAGCACATTGGACGGCACTGCATTCCACATTAAGCACTGTGGACAGTATCCAGTAGAGAAAAAGGAAGGCAATGAGTTGATTTCCATCCGAGACTGCCACTGTTTCATGGAATTTATGACAATGTCAATGGTCTTCACTGTTTCCCCTGGACTCAGAGCTCACTGAGGGCAGGAAGTCACTGCAGCACTTGTACTACCTGGACCGGTCACAATCCTGATAGTAGACTCAAAGTATGCACCCACATCCAAGTGTGGGAGCCTGGCTGAACCAGAGCGACTCGATGTTGACCAGCGAATGACCTGGAGACTGTCACTCCCCCCATCCCTTATGGAATAACTAGTGATTAATTGTGAATTGTTGGGTGGCTGCTTTGAAGTAGCTGGGAGGCTAGATGGAAACTGTAGTGAACACAGAGACCCAACATAAATCACCCCACTCCTTGCTTGCCTGTAGTGGAATGTTCTGAACGTTGTAATCTAAGTTGAAAATGGAAAAATGGATAATCAATCTGCTTATCATTAGTACGTGATGGTCAAGTATATGCCTGATGACCACTAGCTCAGATTAACTGATTCTTTGCCTTTGTCCTCTCTCTGTAAGTTTTAAGTGTAAACCCCCCCCCCTTCAGCCCAATATAAAATGGCCTCTGTTTCTGAGCTGGGCGCCCTTCCTGAGCTACTTGGCTTAGGAGGTGCCGTCTGGCCAGGCTGATAAAGGTCTATTAGCCAACTTGCCTGGTGTGTTCCTTCCTGGGTGACTCTCGCTATCAGACAAGCTCCTGGAGCCTCGCTGAGCTACTGAGCCCAGCATCATGAAGGCCTCTTGGCTGTTCACGCTCCAGGAGTAAAAGTGAGACTCAAGTCTTACACAAGGAGATAGCACAGTCTCCGGACTGTGCTGCCTGCCTTCCCATCTGCCAAGCTTCCTGCTTTCCAGAAGCACCACTTGGTCTGGTCAGGAGCACAAACTGTATGCTCACCTTGGACTTCCGGGTAGAGGGCCATGTATAGCAGACCCCAGCGCAGTGTTGTGGATGTCGTCTCTGTCCCAGCAAGAAAGAGGTCCAAGGTGCTAAGGATGAGGTTTCTTTCATCAAAACTTGAAGTAGTCTTGTCTGGGTGCTAGAAGGATGGAATTGTTAAGGTTGATTCATAGAATCTGTTGTTGACGCCATACAATAGCAAAAGGTTAGAAAGAAAGGTAGAAAGGAGAAACTATATGCTTTTGACTTTCTCAAGTTCCAACAATGCTATTATCTATCTGCCCCTTCTGCTGAAATTGAAAATAAATTCTCCAGCATTCAGTGTTTGAAAAATCAAAAAACCTGAGACCACACAGATCTGAGCATAAGCACTGCCCATGACAGCAAACAGACCATAGCCATAGTCAGGTAGTGTGACCATCCAGCAACTCCCAGATAGAGCAACAGAAAATTAGACTAACCGACCAATCTAATCTGGAATGAGGACAATGACCAAAGACGGATGGGAGGACCAAGACCAACAGTCCACTTGAACACCAGGCCCTGGGGCTACCTCCAGCAGAGACCAGAGGGATGGTCTCTTTTTACATCCACCAAGGTAAGCAAGGACACACCAGGCTGGAGCAGTAACCAAAATCTAAGCTAAACAGATAAAAGAGCCTCTGTGTTGGGGAAGGCACCTCAAAAACCCATAGGTATAAAACTGGGTGGAGAAAATAGTGACTGGCTGGATTCTAAGGCTGCAGATCTTAGAAGGAAACTACTCATTTAGAAACACAGTAGAATTTTTCTCTGACTTAATCATTTAGCATATTTTTCAATCTTTATTCTTCATGTATCAGTTTTGTTAGGGACATGGCTTTTTAAAAAATCTATTTTTGTCTCATTTTTTTCCTCGTTATTCTCTTTTATCTCTTTCTATCTTATCCTGTCCTGTCTTCATCTCTCATTTCCTGTTTTTTTCTCTGGTTTTTACTCCTTTTGTTCATTTTTTTCCCATGACAGTTTTCTAAGGTTATTAATTTCCTTTGACTCCTCAATAGGATCCCCAATTTCACTTTTCTCTCATCCCTCTCATATTCCATGGATTTTTCACATTTTGCTCTGTTTTATTCTCTAGCTCTTCACTTCCTCCATATACAGTGTATGTCTAGATGTCCATAGGGATATTTTTCAGGGGCGGCTGGGTCTAGAATGTATGATTCTGGGAGTGATTCATGGTGCAACGCTAGGCAAAGGGCACTAGGATTAAGGGTGTGAATTGTGCACACCCTAAGTAGACTGGATAAGATAAAAGAGGCACAAAGAAATGTAGTCCTCCCTTGCTTACTTTGCTACTTTCTCCCCTCCATGAACTGTTCCCTTCTGTGAAGACTGTCTGCCTTGGAGCTAAGAGATTATGGACTGAAACCTATATAAACTGTGAGCTAAATAGACCTATCACCTTTCCTTAACTTCTATGGGGGGATTGCCTTATCAACAAGAAAAGTAACTAGGACACTCTACTTTTACTAGTATAGCAATTAAGCATTATGAATCTCTAGATAGCTACTTCACTTAGTGCTATTATTGTCGAAAATTGTTCTGTTGTGGCAGGAAAATTTAGTAGGTATTTACTGTGAATCAATACTAGGTTAATATCTGGTTTGTGTTAGTGTTTGTATGATAATTACAATTTTCTAGGGTAAGGACAGTACATTATAGGACTTTAGGGTTTGTGAATATACAGTTTGTCTTTAATGCTACTACTGTTGCTGCTTTTGAGACTGTAGATAAGGTGACATAGTTGGTGCTGTTATTCTCAGGATGTCAATATCTGGATTGCCTGGAGGTCATCATTAACAATGCTGTGGCTGATACTACAAAAACTGGGTACTGGACCAAATATGCTGCAAACTTTCCTCCAAGAGAAATGGAGGAATGAATCCTGTGACAGAGGACAAAGCCAATAGTCACACTGAGATGGAATCACTGAAATGCAGACATTAACTAAAGAGGTCTCCATAACAGCAACAAAGATTACCAGTATAATCAATTCACAAGCTTCAACATAATAAAAAACAAAAAATAGAATCAGAAGAAGAGAAGGCAACAAAATAAATCCAAAATCTCTCAACTTCCCTAAAGCTGATTCATGAGGCATCAAAGAAGAGAAAACCAAAAACCACACACTTGAATTATTCAAACATCTAACAGAGGAGACAGCAAAATAGATCAATAAGGCACTTAGCAAGATCACAGAAGACATAAATAAACAGATAATGGGCCATGTAAACAAGATAATCAGCAGCTCATCTACAGAAGACACTAACAGATTGCTAGCAAGCTCAGTACAATTATGCAAAACATGAATTACCAATATAAAAAGAATTAGATTCCATAAAAAGTTTACAAATATAAATTCAGGAAATTAAAATCTATGCTAAGTACGGGCAGTGGAATTGATCAGCATGCGTAGGTGTCAGAACCAGAAGGGAGGGCTGTTATGGGTGACTAATTCATGACAGATACCTTAAACAATAAGAGAATAAGAAAATGGATCCTACATCTCTTGGATAATATAAAAAAGACTAATTTAACATTAATTGGATTTAGCAAAAAAATCAGAAAAAAGCACAAATGGCATAAGTACATAGTTACTTTAATAATAGCAGAAAACTTTACATATAAGGG